CAGGTGGTCAGGCTTTATTATGGCTGTCAAAACACCTACTTGCTGATCTCTGATGTTACTTTTAACCACGATTCTTCAAAAATCACCTCATACTTCTCAAGTCACGCTCAATTCGACTGGGTCATGCACTTCAACCGGATCTTGCAAGGATTCTCACGATCTGGAGTAGCTTGCCAGGAATCTGCCGCTGGTTTAACCCTAGAGTGATGAATCCAAGGAGTCACTTCCGCCACTTTTACAGCTGTTGGGGTAGATAAAAGAACAACATACGAAGGCTAACAGGATACACCCCGAGCTTTAACTCGATATGTATCGGTGGGATGTTACGAGCAAGTCCTGGAGGATTATTTTCTGCCCATACTCCTGGAATGTCAAATACAGATCCATCACTCTTTGGGTTTGCCTTTATTATAACAGAATAGAAACGCCATTCTTCTTCTTTTGGCACCAATACCGCTATTATGCCAGGTGATCCATTAAGTAGAAAAGTTATCTGAGCTTAAAGCTTTGATAATAGATCTCGTCCTAGAAGTTAAACTGGACACTCCGGCATGTATTGAAACTGGTACTTAACAAAATGGCCTCCTAAAATGCATGTATGACTCCTGAGAATCGGTCTAGTAGTGCTTTTCCCAATAGCTCCTATCACAGTTATAGTCTTCTCAGAAGGAGGAGCTTCCAACTTGGTCACCACAGAATGTTCAGCACCTGTGTCAATCATGAAAGGACTTCTCTTTCCCCCTATTGCTACATCAACCATAGGCTCTGTTCGGCTAAGGGGGATGGAACCCGGTCGGTATCAATAGTCTTCCATGACAGTGTCAGCCAGACCTAAAAAATCTCTATCTTCCCTATCCCTAGGTCTCTGGGTAGGGGGATAATATCTACCTCCCTGAACACTCCCTCTGCTATTCCCATTATTCCCTCCAAAACTTCCTCTACCTCATCCTCTATAGCTACTACCATAACCACCGCGCCCTCTTCTCTCTTCTTGTCTACCACCTGCAATATATCCCCTCTGTGGACAGTCACTCTTCCAATGCCCTTCCTCTCTACAATATGCACATTGATCTCTACCTAGTGGTACCCTGCTCATCCTATTCATCTCCCCGCCTTCTCTAGCTACGCCTGAAATAGCTACCACTAACATGTATTTTCTTCCTCATCTTACGTCCCTCCTCACGCTTTGTCTGTTTCCTTATTCATATACACCTTATTTGCAACCTCCATTAGCTGTGATATGGATATCCCTGCAAATCCCTCTAATTTTTGCAGCTTTCTCTTAATATTGCTCTGGGCGTGGCTGACAAATGCGGAGTCTATCATTCGGAAGTTTTCAGGGGCTTCAGGATTGAAAGGAGTGTACAATCTATTTGACCCAAGCAGTCTCTCATAAAAAGCACTGGGTGATTCATTAGCTTTTTGTAACACTTCAGCCGTCCTGGACATGTTAATTGCCTTTTTCCCTTCTGCCTTCATGCCAGCAATAATGTCAGCGCCATTTACGTTCCAAAGGTCAGTAATAATTGCTGACAATCAGCCCAGGTGGAATTGTGTGTTTGTATAATGGAGATTGTGGCGAAACCGACCTCGCCACTGGGCATTGGAGAAGACTGATTGCCAGCCTCCTGCCATGTGACTATGGCCCCTGGGATGTATTGCCCTTTAAAGACCTGATTTTGGGCATAATGGATTTGTGTTGTGCTGCTGCTAGCCCTTTTAAAAACCATCTGGGGACATACTGTGGAGTTACTGGGTGGCCACCATTTCATGTATCAGAGGCACATGGTGAGAACAATGGATGAAGCACATGGTGAGAACAATGGATGAAGCACATGGTGAGAACAATGGATGGTGGCCATTTTAACTCACAGACACTGTTTGGATTTTTCAACACGGTGCCATCTCGCCAGTATTTGGTGCACAGAGGCATCGTGCAGTGGTTTTGGACTATACAGCAAGGGACACATTATACAGTGATTGTTTTTCATTTAGCCTGTATATGTTCTGCAGAATCTGCATTAAAGGACCACTATAGTGCCAGGAAAACATATTCGTTTTCCTGGCACTATAGTGCCCTGAGGGTGCCCCCACCCTCAGGGTCCCCCTCCCGCCCGGCTCTGGAAAGGGGAAAGGGTTAAAAACTTACCTTTTTCCAGCGCTGGGCGGGGAGCTCTCTGCTTCCTCTCCTCATCTTCTCCTCCTCCTGGACTGAATGCGCACGCGCGGCAAGAGCTGCGCGCGCATTCAGCCCGTCGCATAGGAAAGCATTTACAATGCTTTCCTATGGACGCTTGCGTGCTCTCACTGT